TATCAGTTCCGGTGGCCTTCCAATAGCCAGAAGTCGCCGCACGATTTGGTCGAGCCCCGTTAGGGTACTTCCTGTCCCTCGGACTGAAAAAGTACCACTCTTGCTCTCCAAACGTAGCCTTAGCTGAAAAATGAAAACAACAACAACAACAACAATAGTTTCAGCAGCAAAAGAAACTAAAACATGCAAGGTGTGTAAAAGATTTTGTTACGTGGGAGCTCCCATGGATCAAATTTGTATAGATCAACTTCAGCTATAATAGACACCGGGAGAGGGTCGGCGGCGGCCTTCTTCTTGAGGTAGTGCACCACCAGTTCCTCATCCGTGGGGTGGAAGCGGAATCCTAGTGGCAGCCGAGGATGCTGTGAACCACCGGTGGATGAATCGTCCATCGATTTATTCATCTCTCTCTACCTATATATATGTATATATATCTATGTATCTATGTGTATATATCAAGATTTCCTTGCAAAATTTTGGATTTTTGGAAATTCATCAGAGCAGTAGAGCACGATCAAGAAAATGCAATAAGCTGAAATGCTGGCCAGCTAGCCCATGTTATATGTGTATACGGTCCATTGTATTTTGACACATTCATTCATCAATCACAGGTAATTGAGCCCTTGTTTGTTTGACCTCATTATTTTTAAAATACATTTTACTCTCTTATTTTCAATCACATTTTTTAATAAAATAATATTATAAACAAACCTAAAATTTTTCTTTACTTTTCAACTACACATTCTCCGTCAAAATACTATTCAAAAAGAGTAATGTGTTCACTCACTTGGCACTTTGGCAGATCAGTGGAGGGGGCTCTTGGACCCTGGTCAGTTTGGGACACATCCCATGGTTTACCTGATCTGCGTTTTGAGGGGCTAACGCGCAGATCTCAGGATTAGTAGGCGAAGGTGGACACCTGTGTATAAAAAAAAAGAGTAATGCTATTTATCATCATGATGATGGAACATCGGTTACGTGACAACCAATTATCCCTCACTTTTTTTTCTCTCTCTCCTTCCCCTCTTTCTCATAAAAATTGAATTGCCCATTCCAATTATTTTACATGAACTGCCATATTATTGATGTTCAATCATCATAACGATAAATAACATTATTTATTTGAAAATACATTTTGGACAAAAAAATGGGGCTCAAACAAGCTCTGAATAAAAAAAAATTCACTGACCAATTGTATTGTGACATGTCATAGTACATGTTTTCCTAATCTTGAATGTTTGACTTACATTGTGTGAAATAAGTAAGTTAAGCATATTTTGATAAACTTTTAAGTAGTTGATTCTTGCCTTTTTGCTCTTATTGGCAGCAAGTATGCATTTACTACCCAAATAAGACCGACAAAAGTTACTTATAAGCTAAGCTAAATTTTGGCAGTAAATGCATATGCTTGCCAACGAGATAATATCGGAAAAGTTAAGAATGAGCTACTTATAAGCTTAGCCATACATGCTAATTATTTTACTTAAAATTAAGAAGTAGGCAACACACTCAATCATGAAACAAAAAATCTACTTAAGATTAAATTTGACCTACTTTTAAGATTATCCAAACATGCTCTAGGGTTATAACCCCAGTCTATATGGTTCTAAATGATAGTAAGTGAAATATGGAATTAAATAATTTATTTAATTTTACCTATCATTTAATATCATATAAACTGTGGTTGTAACCCTAGTGAGGCTAAATAGCATTACTCTTTGTAAAACCATATGGAGGCGACACGTGTGAAGATTGTTTGTGGGTCCCACAAAGCAATATTCAAATTGATAAAACAAAGATAGGTTTGGAGTGGGGATAAAACATTGCTTCAAATGTCACACGCTTTTGAGGCAAGCAAAATAATCACATCGACACTCCCTTAATTACAGAAATTATTTTTACCACTCAATCTTGTAATATTGTGTATTTAAGTTAAAAAGTCACTTATTTCTAACTTAATTAAAAACACTAATAAAGGGAGAACTTACAAATGAAAAAATAAATAAAAAACCTTTAGGGTCTGTTTGTGATAGGTAAAGATGGAAATGAATTTCAATTCTATGTTAGTTGGAAAATAAAAATTCATCATACCCATAAGAATTCGTTCTTCATGAAAAAAAAAAATACAGTTTAAAGTGGTTGTACCTTGGAATTCGGTATCCATTTCCACGTTACAATTAAACGACCAAAGTGGAATTCGTTTTTCTCGGATATTACATTTTTCATGGAATTCGTTGCAATCAAATAGGGTTTTAGTCACAATTAGGCTTGATGAGGCAAATCATTCTAAAAATGTATAATTTACTTAGAATTAAACTTATAAGTAATTTTTTTTTTTTTGAAGTTGAGCCAAAAATGCAGTATTTATTGTAAATCAATTATCACAGTTTAATGTCAGCTTCTGTAGTGGGATCTAGTGCTGGTTTCATTAAGGACAGGGTCCCACTTGGTATCAAATCTTGTAATCCATTTTTATAGTATTGAATTCTGAATTGTAACATTTGTGTCCACGCGGGCCCTATTGGGTCCCACTTGACACCACATAATACATCTTCAAATTTAATCGACCATTAATTACTTAAGTACTCTAACAGTTTAAGCTATTATAAAAGGATGAGCCCCATCCTTGACGGTCCTCACCTGCCTTGTCCTGAGTTTTGGTGAAGGAGGTAAATCGCAAGTTATGCCTCCAATGGTATAGGGAGGAAGACTACTTGCACTTACCTAAGGGCCAAATCCATATTTCAGGATTCGAACCCTTGACGCGACAGCCTCAAGCAAAGTTGGAGTTTTTCCACCTTCCGGAAAATGGTGAACCTTTACACGGGGCCTCCGCTGTTAAATTCGATAATATCATCGATTTACAATTCACTCCGTAACTATTTTTATTTTATTTACGTTGTCACTACAATTAATTGATTTTTCATACTTTAATATAAAATAATAACTTACTAAATCCGTATCTTAAATCCGTATTAACTTAGTAACTTATTCTAATTAATTACATTGCATGTTCAAAATATCGTACATCTATATCAACTTTTTCAATGAAATTCTTCTTTGTGGTCTTTTCTACTTTTGTGGATCCCACCCAGTCAACATTAATTTCAAATTATTATTATTTAGCTTTCATCCAATCAAATGATATAATATAATCCCCTTTTATTATTGTAAAATGGTTAATAGAAATTAATCTAAAACCAATAAGAAAAAGTAAGTTTGATTTAGTATGTTCGATCGACTGATATAAGAATTAGGACGTTCTAAAATGTGTTGATAAGTGCAATAATATCTGGATGGACACTCGACGTTCTCTGATCAGCAAATAATCTTTTATTTCCTTGGGCGTTGACACAATACTCAAAATATATTGTCGCAATTTTTTTTTTAATGTTACAATCTATTTTTAAAAAAAAAATTACTAGAGAATGATGTTCGATTTTGGAGAATCAACGATTGATTTTCCATAATACTTCTGATCGAAAAATCAATCTGATTGATTTCGTACTCTTCGTTGGAAGAGAGAATGATTTGTATTTTTTTATGATCATTGATTTTCTCATTGTATGCCAAAGAAGTTAGAATTAAAGAGAGACCAGAAATTTCGGCAGTAGAAAGGGATATAGCCACACACTCATAAGTCAATAACAGATTTAGGCAAGGTCACAATTGCATGACCCTTTCAAGTCTCTATAATCAGTTTTACACAACTATCTAACTTATTGCAAAGTTGGCAATACTTTATATGAAAGAAAGCACATGGCTCATTTCGTGTATTGAACTCGACATGTATTTGACAGCAGGATCAAATAAAATGAAGTTCAAAATATTATCTTTCAAAACATCAATTTAAATGGCTACATTTTATAGGTTCAATTAAATAAATCACGTGACTTTGTATTTGAATGATATGTAATTGTCATATAGACTGTGCATAACATTACTTCTCATTAAGCTTCTAGAAATATTATACATGCACATAATTGTGTTTGTCTTTTACTCAATGAATTTTTAATCGGCGTTGCTATTACATAATTTAGACTCGAGACGTCTAGGTTGAGCTCTAAAAGATGAAAGTTCGAGTCATGAGTCGAGCAACAAGCTTAATAGCTCTTTCATCTCTATAAAGATAGATAAGTAATTTTAACATGTGGTCACACGACACGTGCAAATTTGTGTATAGAAAAATACAGAACTTATAAAGTTAGGTAGTATATTTTCGAACAGTTGTGCTACACGTACATAACATGTTTACATAATGATTTACATACACATGATGTGGTGATATATGATTGAATCATAATTTTTTAAACCGAATAAAAAAAATAGTTCACAACTCTCTTTTTGACACATCATTTGCTTGCAAACCATAATGTAACTGTTTATGTACAAGTAGCATTATTCATTTTCGAAAAAATGGATGGCCTAAGGTCGTGGATATCTAATTTTTTGATACGCAATGATATTTATTTTTGTCCAGTTATATTTTTTCTTCAATCATGTTACTTATATATACTGAGTGTCAACTCCGAATGTACAAATAGCATTATTGTTTTCCTTGGCCCTTTTAGAATTTTGTTTCACTCTAGAACCACCAAATTAATTGGTACTTTGGGTATGATATAGATTTGGTCAAACTTTGACTTTATGATCAAATGGAAAATCAGTTGTATGAGTTGCAGGATGGAGGCCACTATGGTACTTAATTACTTGTATGGTTTTTGCAATGGGCATTGTACCATTGACTATATAACTTCCCAATATATATATATATATATATTTTGCTGAATTTAATGAAAAATAATGAACCTGTCCAAACAATAACAAATAGTCAAATATAGCGTAAAGCACTACAAAAAAATACCATGTAATTTTTAAGAAATGGCATATTATAAAATATAGGAAATTATTAAAAACAAAAGTAATTGCTAATTCACTGATGATTTCTTCACTGGTTACTACATGGGTAAACTACTTTGAGAATGAGATAAAATCAACTAAGTTCAGTCTTGATTTTAGTAAAATTATCGAGTAAAGAAATAAATATACTATTCTGTTTTACGTTATGGGGAGAAACTCCCGAAAAATCACTCTATTTCCTTACAACACCTATTCTCATGAGGGCAAGATATGCAATCAACCTGTATACCACAAGCATTATAGACAAGGCAACCAGTGAGATAGCCACTCCACCAAGTCCTACGGGTTTCACCGAAGGAAAATCCTCGACCAAACAAGTTTCATTGGTCCCGCAAGGATACGTATCACCTGGCTTGTATTGTGAGCTCAACAAGAGCTTGAATGTGTAATTAGTTATAGATAAATACTTGATCCATCCTATGAACTTGGGAACATGTTGGACATAATATCCACTCACTAGAAGGAATGAGAG